AATCCTTGTTACGGATATCCATGAGCTCTGGAGAAGTCTTGAACTCCTCAATAATCTCAGCGCGCCTGGCGTCGAAAGTAAATACAGCTTCTGCCTTGGCTTCCCTCTTCCCCTCGGCGAAACGCCTCGTTGCTTCCTCAGCTGCTTCGGACAACTTCTTATCAGACAGGTCTGCCCGCTCCATGAGACTTGTGACCTCAGGTTTCAACTTTACTAGTTCATCTTCCAAACTCGCCAGCTTGGCCAAGGCCACGTGCCTCTTCTCGACGGCCTTATCTAGCTTCTTTTTAGCGTCGGAGACAAGGGACTGGAGCTTGGCCTCCACATCGTCCATCTCATTTTTACGCTCCTCAACCTTGACGAGGTCAAGGAGGTTAAGAACGGAAAGGACCAGGCTTTGAAAAGTTGAAGGTTAGAAAAACAGAAATGCAGAACGACGAGTAAAAAAAAAAAAAAAAACTCTCAACAAAATCTTACGTGGATTTGGAAGGAAATCTGTTTTCGCTGACGGTCGACCAGGGAAGATTGGGCGGCAGCAACCCAGTGTGGCTCGAGAAAAGACTCATAGAGAGCCTGAAAGACGAGGGAGAAGCGAGGAGGAAGTTTCAGCATCGCCCCAATCTCGGCATCAGATATGTCCGGGACTTGGAACTTGGGGTCCATAATTTTAGCTCCCGGAATAAGCACGCGCTCTCTCGGCTCCAGCGGAATGTCGACGTCAGGAATAGGGACCGTCGGCGTCCACGTTTCTACCACCGGCATTTTTTCCTTGCGCCTCTTTTTCCGCCAAAGATCCGTCTCCGACTTCGAAGGGCCCTTGGTCTTCTTGCTCCTCAGAACGTGGGAAGAAGACCTAGCTTTCTCATCTCCCTTCGACGGGGGCGGTTGGCTCGGCGGGGGCTGTTGGTCCGATGGCGGCTGCTGGCTCGGCCCAGATTGCCGACTGCCAGGAAGTTGAATTCTCAGTGATGCCATCTCTGCAGAAACGACGAGACGAAGATATGATCAGCGTTTGAAAAACGAGAACCGTAATAAGGGAAGGCGTCGAAAGCAAGAATTACCCTCGTCGTTTAGGTGGAAGTATGCGCAGACGGCGTCTAGGTCCGAAGGGTTGGGGAGATCAAGGATTAAATCGGCAGCGCGATGGTTGGCCTCGGTCAGAAGCGTGTCGATATGGCGAACCTCTGATGAAAAAGAAAAGGCCTTTTCGATTCTCGCCAAACTGTTGCCAGAAAACTTTGGCCGGTCCTGGCTAACTGAAGGGTAAAAGATTATCAGCATATGAACAAAAAGCAAAGTCAAATAAAAGAAAGCCAAGAGGCTTACCCATATTCCCAAACGCCGCTTGCACCTGCCTTCAACGGGGCAGGTGGTCGTTGGGATGAAAGTTGAAAGGCCCCCGAATCATGAAGAACATGGGCTTCCACCCATGTGACGACGAGGGAATACCCAGTATAAGCTTCCTAAATCTGGGCTGAGACCTCCCGTGACTGCTCAAAAAATGCCACCCCTCACACTTGGCGACGTGGCATAGCTTTTACATAAATCGGAACTCATCCAAAGGGAGTTCCATATCGAATTGTTGGTGCCATAAAATCTAGGCATCGACAAAGCAGTACCAGAAGTTCGGCGCCAGCTGAGCGGGGGAAATGCCATAAAAATGGCAGTAGTCCTTTATAAAGGGATGAACTGGGAGGGTCATCCCCGCCGTAACCGCTCTAGTATAGACCGGAAGGTATCCGGTCGGCGGCATGCTGGTTCTAAAATGCATGTCCGGGAGAAGGTATTCGAACCACCTCCCGTCGATGCATCCTTCCTTCACAGCCCGGATGATATCCTTGTTCCGGACCCTCAACACCACAACGTCGGCTGTGAAGAAATGCCTATCTGGCTCACCACTCATGGCAGCCAGGGGAGCATCTACCGTCGAGGCAGCCACCCCGCCTACTCTGCCCCCGGTGAAGGGGATCCGCTTATCTATCTCATCCAGAAACCGTTCGACGCTACCGAATTCGCTTCCGAGGTCGTCGCCCGGTTCATATCTTTCTCCAACATCTTCAGTGTCCCTCAGCACTAGGGCTGTAAGAAATCACCCCGAACCCGACGAACCCGGCCGAGCCGAGCCGACCCTACCCGAAAATCACGACTTTCTAATTTTTTATTTAATTTTTGGTTTGAATTATACCTAACCCGCACTGAGCGGGTAGGGGCGCGGGGTGGGGTTACATGAACCCGAGGTAACCCTACCCGGCCGAACATGTTCAAAGTAGGTAAAACAATGTTCAACACTTCAAATTCTTACTTTCATAAGTTTATGGACTTTATGCTTTTAAACTGTTAACTTATTTATGTTTTGGATTCACGATTTGTGTACAAAATGCTTGTGTGCCATAGTTGTTGAATTAGGACATTCTTTATTTATATTGGAAGTGTTTGATTTCAAAGTGAGTGTTTTAATTGTTCACCTTGCATTTAGACCCCCTATTGAAGGAAAAACATGTTCTGTTTGATAATGATTTCTTATGTAACAAGCACAGATTAATTGACTAAAAAGTGATCATGTGGTCCTTGAGATCACTCTTGCTTTATGCATATTGTGATATGAGTTATTAGTCTTTATATTTTATTATGCCGCAATTTTGTTGTGTAATTATTTACTACAATAGTATTTGCATATATCATTTATTGCTCATTTACTACAATAGTATTTTATCATTTATTTGCATATAAGAGCCTCTTAGATTAAAATTGATGAAGTCATAGATTAAAATTGGTTTTCACCAACCCGAGTAACCGGACCCTACCCGAGGTCACCCGAAAGGTTGCGGGTTTGTAGACTTAAGAGAGTGTCGCGGCCCAAAATTTTCTCAACCCGCACTAGTCGGGTAGGCTCAATTTTTCGGCTCAATCCTACCCTACCCGGCCGATTTACACCCCTACTCAGCACGGAGTCGACGCTGGAAGACGAAGAATACCATGAGATCTCCACCATAGAAGGGGGGTCTGGACGGATGACAGGAGAATCCTCTCGACTGGGGGAACTTTAGGCCATTGTTCTGGTGATTAATAAGACAAGAAGCTAAGTTAAAACCCTAACGTCGATAGGAAGAAAGGATGGCTATTCTAAGCGACGACTACGCAAACGCCTCGACTTGACGTCGACCATTCATATGAGAATGGTAACGGCGAGTGCTCATAGAATTCCAGATTCTCCAGAACCCAGAAACCAGAAGCGCGCAGACAACAAAGAGATGGGGACAGAACTATCCAATGCGGAAAAACAAAACGGAGTAAGTCTCCCTAACTTCTACATTCCACACATTTTTTTATACATATACACATGGTTCAAACAAAAGGAGAGGAGTGGCCCGTGAGTAAGAAAAGCAGACCGAGGGTGGAAAGGCTTACCGGTGAAGAAGGATTCCCGGGAAAGTCTTGAAGAAAGAACGGCTTCGTGATACGCCTCGAAGAGCAAGAAGCACGAACCAGAGGTTGGAGAGGAAGGATTCCGACGAGGAAGACGGCAGTCCAACAGGTGCGAAGAGGGTTTGAAGTTTTGAAAAAATGGCTCTTAAGTTCGTAGAGAGTATTTAAAGGAACGGACATCCTCTACCCTGACCGTTGGATGAAGATCTTAAAATCCAACGGCAAGGGAATGTTGCCCGGATCTGACGATGATAAAATAGGGCGGGAAGCGGAGAGATCGCGATCCAAGGGCCCATATTCGTCCTTTCAAAATAAGGCCGTACGTCATCATGGGGAATCAATCGACGCGACGGTTGCGTCCCCCGAAGGAAATCCAAAGCGCCCAGGCCATCATTGCGAACGAAGGCTCGGGACCGGTTTCCCACACCCAAAGCACGGAAGGACAACCGAACCTAAGTCTGAGGCCGCCTGAAAGGAGCCCTCGACGTGGAGGGGTAGCTATTGTGTGGGAAAATATGACGGACACATGGACGAACGGAAATGCGACACGTGGCCTTGACTGCTCCCCACCAAGCAAAAACCCTCGACGTCTACGGACCCCTCCTATTCCGCTGGAAAGCCCAAAGCGCGAAGTCCAAATTAGGATGACGATCCCTTATGGCATCGACAGATCGTGCTGTAGACACGAAGATCCCTCGACCGCAGAAAGGACCCAAAAAGGGCGATTGGGCCAAGCAGCGCTGACGACGAGGGGAACGTTCTTTAGAAGACGTGACGGGTTGCGTGCAAAAGTGGAAGACATCTGCAGCCATTAATTGCAAGCTCTCAAACCGCCCCACACAGGGGACATAAAAGTATTACGGAGAAGCACATAGCCGTAATAGGAAACTAATTGGCTGAGTGAACAGTGCTGATTAGTGGGCTACGTCTCGGCCTACCAAGGAAGAGCACTTGAGTGCTTCCACCTAGGAAGGAAACCTCCTAAGCGAAGGAAGCCCAGTATAAAAGGAGAAAGACCCCCAGTAAGGCAGGGGTTGAGAGATTCCAGCAAAGAGGAAAAAAAAAGATTGAATAAGAGCAATTGTTGTAAATTGTTACTTTATCAAAATAAATACAAAATCACAGTGGATGTAGCTCTCATTATATAGAGTGAACCACTATAAAATTCATTGTGTCGTTTATCTATGCATGATTTGGTTAACACACAAACACACATATTTAACTAATCCTCACACGTTCACTACACACAAGCCGGTAATCCAAAGGGAAACCAAGAGGTAACCCGGCCTGTTTTTGTTGGCGAAATTTGACCGTCAACAGTGACTGTTTATGAAAACTTTTTACTATAACAAAACTCAAATTTTAAACTTGAATTAGCGAAATAAACAGGATTTTAGTTGTTCACTTTTTTATTTTTTAATCGTCATCTTCAATTATCGGAGAGACCTAGTAGAATGTGATGATATTATTCAACCATTGTGATACTTTTTGGTGAAAGTGGGGCCGGTTGGTAGCAGAGCTAGTCATTTTATTATAAATTCATGAGTGGTCACTGTTCAAATAATACAAAGCAAGTCGAATACGTTATTCGTTAGTATCTTCTTTGTCCGATAACGCTTTTGTTTGTTCTTTTTTGTTTTTGATTTTTTTGATTTTGTGTATTTGTTTTATTTTTGGTAGAATATGAATCTGTGTTTCTGAAATTAACACGTTTCAGTTTTGGGAATGTTTTTACTTTTTTCTACTTTCTTAGCGGTCCACGAATCTTTATTGGTAGATTCTAGCGAAGAAAATCCCACTGAACTTCTTCAGAGTTGCTTCAGAAAACTTGGGAACAACACTTTCTCGGTTAGTTTTCTCTCCCTGTGCATCACTTTGCAAAAAGTTTTAATTTTTCTTTGATTTCTTTTATATGTGCATAAATTGTTCTCTTTGCCTGTCTTCTTTCGATAAATGAGCGTGAAAAAGATAAAAAGGAGTGTAATACATACAAGTTTGGGGAAGTTCAATTATTTTTCCAAAATTATTGGGTTTATTTGCTTTATGGAAAAATCTCAAATGTGAAAATGGATCTGTAAAAGGGTTTTTGAAAATGGGTCTCTTTTTCATTTTACTGTTTTCTTTCCTTTTTATTTTTATTTTTATTTATTTATTTTTAGGGACGAGATTAATTTCCTCTTTGAACTCTCTCTATTCAGACTTTCAGAGACAATCTGATGGATTTGGAGGAAGCTATTTTATCTTTAGAGACAGACATTTTCGTCCCTAAGTAGGCTAACTGTTTTTCTTGGGTCATTATTACTATCAATTTCCTCCCAGAGAAGCGCGAAAATGGAAAATAGTGAAATAGAGCAGAGGCTTTTAGATGCAGGGGAAAGAGACGAGGGGTCGGATCTGAAAAGGAGAGTTTGGAATGAAGTGAAGTTGATGTGGAAAATAGCTTTTCCTTCAATGTTGGCAAGAGTGACTGCGTTTGGAGTTATGGTTGTGACTCAGTCGTTTCTTGGGCATGTCAGTGAGTTGGACCTCGCTGCTTTTGCTCTCGTCCAAAGCATTCTCATTCGCTTTGTCAATGGCATTCTAGTAAGTACTTGCTAGACCCAACTTCTTTAATCATTTTTTAGTCCCTTCTTTTCGTATAATTTTTTAGTGTTTCTTTTTGTTATTAATTTATATTTCTCAAATGTAGGTTTAAAAGAAAGATTTTTAAGTAGAAACTGCTTGCTTTATAATAACCCATTGTATGGATGTCATGAATGCTATGATCTTTTGGTCGGTGGTAGCTATTAGTTTCAGAGTTTTGTTGGCCAGTTTCACCTTTACTGATGTTTTATTTTACCCTTTAGTCGTAGATTTACTTTTATTTTTTGTTTTTCCCCTTTAATATGATTATCCTCTTTGGCCGGAAAAAGGTAGACATTGTTTAAAGTGGAAATGGAACTACCTGTTAAGCAGTGTACCGGTGACATCATTTTCTTTCACATTTCACAACAAAAAATTGAGGAGGAGAAACTGGAAAGTAGGATAAATAAATAAATAAACCTCTAACGGTGGGCACAGCTCTAACACTTAGATTTTTATTAAACAATTATGCTTCTTTTTTTTTTTTTTATTGAGGGAACAATCATACTTCTTTTAATTTGATAAAATTTTTATTATGTGGCGGGTCAAATTTATTTTTAATTATAGTTTTTGTTTTTTAATTCATATTCTACCACAAAATCCTCCCCTTATAAGGGGAAAGTAGTGATAGACGTTATTGAAACCAAAGTGGCCTTTAGAATTCACCCACATTAATTTCTCTAGTTCATGAATGTGAATGTTGCATTCATCTTAGTTCATATATATATATATATATATATATATATTAGTTCATGAACATGCTTGGGTGCATTCATCTTTATTTAGGTTTAGGGATACAATTATTATGGTATCTTATGTTGAATCGAAACATGTTGAAGGTATACTGTCTTTTTGATAATATTAAAACGATACCTTCACGTTTAAGTGAAATTATTTTTTGGCATATAAAATATCTTTTATACCCTTTTAATTAATTTATTCTACAATTAAACTTAAATGTAAATTATTTATTTGGATATGTCAAAATTGTTTATTTTTTTATATTTCTTTTTTTCATAATTTTTAAATGTTTCAACATATTCAAAATATAATTTATATTCACACTTAATTTTGGAGCAAATTAATTAAAAGGGTATAAATGACATTTTATGTCTCAAGAAACGACCTTAGAATACCGAAAAGATTTTTGTAAATTATTTATTTGGATATGTCAAAATTGTTTATTTTTTTATATTTAACTTTTTCATAATTTTTAAATGTTTCAACATATTCAAAATATAATTTATATTCACACTTAATTTTGGAGCAAATTAATTAAAAGGGTATAAATGACATTTTATGTCTCAAGAAACAACCTCAGAAGACCGAAAAGATTTTTTTTTTAAATATGAAAAATACCATTTTAATATTATAAAAATGTCATGGTACTTTTTGAGATGTTTAAATATAACAAAGACAAAGAGTACCAAAATAATCCTATCCCCAAGTTGTATTTTTGTTTATGTACATAGGAGTGGAGTCCAATTTTGATATTTTTCATTTTTTGTTCATTTTGCTGTCCTCCACTAAAACCTTAACATCTTATTAAAAATTCAGGGTATTGAACTCTCGGTTCTTGAATTTTGAGCATAGAAATAGTTAGGTTCTTAACTTTAATTTTGGCACATTAATCCTTAAATTCTTCTTTTCGACAACTTTGCTTCCTGAAAAATAAATTGACGATGGATTTTTATTATTTAACAAATATAATCATGTGTTATTGGCATGGTAACTTAAAATTTTACAGAATGATATATGCAGAATTTTCTCTTAATTATTATTAAAATTAGTTGGAAACTATAACAATTTGCACTTTCTATAACTATTCATTTAGATCTTTCAGAAATAGTTCCTTAATTTGAGTGTTAGGGACCAAAACTATCAAAAAAGACAAATTTAAGGAGTAATTTGTTAAAATTAAAAGTTCTTGGACTAAATTCCTGCAATGCTTATAGTTTAAAGACTACAGTACCAATAACCCTAAAATTTTACCGATGAGCTTTACCAAAAATTACTCTTAACAACTGCCAATGCGGTACCTTTTCTATCTCTCTCACTCTGTTTCTTTTTTCCTAAAAAAAAAAAATAATAATCTATATTTCGGTTTACTAGTTGTCGTCTTTTTCTTCCCATGGAAAGAGCCAACCAAGAGAAGGGGGAATCTAGATATGATATAGAAATCAGATTTTACATTGAACCTCCAAGCCAATGACAAGCATTACGGATCTGGAAGCGCTTCTAGACGTTGTGGTGTCTAGGAACAAAGCAGCTTTTATCACCTCATATGCCATTCTCCAAAACAAAATGTTATAGATATTTGGATTAATTACAAAATTCTCCCGAATTATACCTCTTGTAACACTTATGCCCCCGATCTTTAACACATAATATCCCTTCCTCCTGAACAATGCAATGTTGTCAAAAAAACCCCCTATATTAAATTTTTAACGGAAATTGACACTTAATTAGTTATATCATGGGTATTTCAGTAACTCTATGGTTTGAAATTTTATCTGAATTTAAAACTAATTTAAATTTGTGACTTTTAATTATGAAACATCCATCATTAATTGAATGTAAGTTCAAAATTTTATGAATCTTTTTTTTTTTTTAGAATTCAAAATTTATGAAGTTGTTTTGAACATTTTTTTATGTTAAAAATAGCAAATGAAAAATAAAAAACCATTTTTTTTTTAATAAAAGGACCTTGTTTGTGAGGTGGGGGATTTATGGTGTCTTTGGGAGTGAAGAAGATTTATTTATTTTTTATGTAAATCAGACTTAAAAAATAGGGTGCGTAGGTAAAATAAATATTTTTGCTTGTCAAATGATGATGAGTTTTACCAGATTTATTGAAAAAAAAAATATATCGCTCGTCTTGCTGGTTATGTTCTTTTGGTGTTTTCTACTTCTTTGTACCGTAGTATAGCTTCAGTTTATTTTTATTTTTTTGTATTTTTTTTTAAATTTTTATATCTGTTCTAATAAACAAAACAAAAATGGTATTTAACCTCACAAGGTTAAATAGGAATGCTCTAAAGAAATAAATAAATAAAAAAAGCGTAATGCTAAATGTGTTACAAGAAAAATAGATAAAAAGACGACTATGTTGGAATGACATTAGCTTCACCGGTTAGTTGAAGTTGTTTATAATAGTACCTGATATGTAAAATTGTCATGAGCTATCAATATTTTAATAGAGGATGATAAATGGGACAATAAAATAGAACAGATTTATACTCGCTTATATAACTGTCACTGTTACATAATTAGTGACTAACATCACAGTTTTTTTTTTTTTTTTTTTTTTTTTTTTTTTTTTTTTTTTTTTTTGTGTTTTCTCAACTTGCAATATATCAGGTAGTTATTTTCTTCATTTGTTGTTGTGAGTTTATAGACTAACGCTATTCTCTGCACTATTTTCTGATTGTTCTGTTTTTGTACGGCCTTGAAAATCTCAAATTATTACTTTAAATCAGTAAGATACCATCACAAGATTTTCTAACAAGCGCTATAACAACAAAACGCTTAATTTTGCTATCTCACAATCTAACTAAATTTTCTTTTTTATTCTCTGGATATGACTATGAAAAGCTTGGCATGTCAAGTGCAACCGAGACTCTATGCGGGCAAGCATTTGGTGCAAAACAATACCACATGATGGGAATATACTTGCAACGTTCATGGATTGTTGACTTCATCACCGCAACGATAATGCTCCCTATTTTCATCTTCAGCGCGCCCCTCTTGAAATTGCTTGGTGAGCAAGCAGACATTGCGGCCGTGGCTGGGAAGATCTCCCTCTGGTGCATACCCTATTTGTACACCTTTGTCTTCAGCCTCACCATTCAAATGTACCTGCAGGCGCAACAGAAGAACTTGATCGTCGGGTGGCTCTCAGCAACATCGTTCGTCTTGCATGTGGTGTTGTCGTGGATTTTTGTGTATAAGCTCGAGTGGGGGACCGTCGGTGCTCTGGCGGCAATGAACATCGCCAGCTGGTCGTCTGTCATTGGAATGTTTGTGTATATCTTTGGAGGTTGGTGTACCAAAACATGGAAGGGATTCACTCTTGCTGCTTTTGTTGATATGTGGCCTGTTGTAAAGCTATCCATATCTTCTGGTGTTATGGTGTGGTAAGTTTTGTACCTTTCTTTTTCCTCTTTTTTTTTGTTTTTGTTTTTGTTTTGTTTTTGTTTTTGTTTTTGTTTTGTTTTGTTTTTCTTTTTTTGTTTTTTTTTTGTTTTTTTGGGAATAAACAAGAAAAGACACCCCCAATAAGAACTAAGGACATGCTAACTAGGTTGACAATCCAAAGAACCAAGCTAGGTTGACAATCCAAAGAACCAAGGTTCTAACCCAGCTTCACTAAATATTATTAAACAAGCAATAAGAAATTACATAAAGTTGGGGTAAAGCCCAAAATTAAGGTAAAAAGAAGAATAAACCAAAATAAAAGCCTACAAAATTACTCCAAACTTTCTTTTCAAATCTTTTTATTAATCTAAAGCCGTGTATATTTCACACTGAAGGTAAAAGATAAAGAAGAGATGTGGAATTTCCCTCAAAGTTGTCATATTTAGATTTATTCATAGAAGGAAATTAGGGGATTAGAGAATCCGGATTCTCCTATTTTGATTCCTTAGGTTTAGGAGGAAAGTTTCCTATCCCTTATTTTCAGGGATTTGTTACCCTTATTAGTTATGTAAATCATGTATATAAGTGTGTAATGGTTACCGATTATTTCAATGAGAAAAATAGAAGATTATTCTTCCTCAAAATCTTCATGGTATCAGAGACTGGTTTTCTGAAAAAACCCTAGCCTCCATTCCCAACTGGCCCTCATAGCCAAGCACAGCCATGGCATCCGAAACAACCAGCTCTACCTCTGAAGTTCCTTCTCATTCCGATCAAACATTTGCTCTTCCAAATCCTGGACATTCCGGAAATTCTGAAAATCTTTCAGCCCTGATCACTAGCCACAAACTCAATGGCAAAACTTCCTCCAATGGTCTCAATCAGTCCGGATGTTCATCTGTGGCAGAGGCAAAGAGGATTATCTAACAGGGGAGATTCCAATTCCGAAGAAGGATGATCCAGGCTACAAAAAGTGGAAGGCCGAAAATCATATGATTATGTCTTGGCTCATCAATTCAATGAATGTTGATATTGGTGAGAATTTTCTTCTCTATGAGATTGCACAAGAAATTTGGGAAGCAATAAGAGAGACTTACTCTAGTTCTGAAAATACATCGGAGTTATTCGCAATTGAGTACATCCTTCACGATCTACGGCAAGGAGATCTCACAGTGACACAATACTTCAACACACTCACCCGTCACTGGCAGCAACTAGACATTGTTGAAAGCCACGGATGGAAGTGCCTTGAAGACAATGTCCTGTATCGAAAAATAGTGGAGCAGAAGAGGACATTTAAGTTTTTACTGGGTTTAAACAAGAACCTAGATGAAGTTAGAGGCAGGGTGATGGGAACTAAGCCTCTTCTGAGCCTTCGAGAAGCTTTTTCTGAAGTTCGCCGTGAGGAAAGTAGGAAAAAGGTCATGATGGGTGGTCAACATTCATCTCCAACGTTGGAAGGATCTGCCCTCGCTGTCCGTGGCTTACGTCCTCCAAATCAGCAGGATTCTCGACAACAAAGGAAGGGAAGAGCATGGTGCGATCACTGTGCTAAACCTGGCCACACCAAGGACACGTGTTGGAAGATACACGGCAAACCTGCATACTAGAAACCATCAAAATCAGGTTTTGACAGAGACAGCCGTGCAAATTCAGCCACCACAGCCGAAGAAAAGCCAGTCACCGCCGAGTCAAGTCCCTTCACCAAGGAACAACTTGAAGCGCTCCAAAAGATTCTAAGCAGTACCCCCTCGTAGCCCGCTGCCCCTGCCCCATCCGCGAGCATGCACGCACAAGCAGGTAATTCACAATCTGCATTCTCTGTGTGAGCTAAACGTTCAAGACATTGGATTGTTGACTCAAGAGCATCGGACCATATGACGGGAGATGGGTCTCTCTTTCATGCATATCAACCGAGTACTACCAATCTCACAATGCGCATTGCCGATGGTTCTTTGTCTACGGTGGCCGGGATTGGATCCATTCGACTCTCACCCGATATCATTCTCAAATCCGTGCTTCATGTCCCTAAACTCAATTGCAACTTAATGTCCATTAGTAAGCTGACTCGTGATCATCATTGTGTTACTAAATTTCTCCCAAATGTGTGTGTTTTTCAGGAATTGGGTTCGAGGAAGAGGATTGACAGTGTTGAGATGTGCTCGGGACTCTATCTCTTCAAGATACCTCAACTTGGAGAAGCTTTAGTTGGGAGCAGAAACCTTCCTACGAGTCAGTCAATCAGTAACTTCAGTCCTAAGTCTATTTTTAATTCCAGTGTCAAAAGGATAGTGAAGTCATGTTATGGTACTATCGGTTGGGTCATCCAAACTTTATGTATCTCGAAACGTTATTCCTGCATTTATTCATCAATAAAAATTCAAAATTTTTTAACTGTGAGATTTGTCAACTTGCAAAACACACTCGTTCTATTTATCCAAGTGTGCCCTACTATCCATCAAAACCATTTGCATTGATTCACAGTGATATTTGGGGACCCGCTCGAATAAAAAACATTAATGGGGCACGGTGGTTTGTGACTTTTGTGGATGATCATACACGACTCACTTGGGTTTTTCTTATGAAAGAAAAGTCAAAAGTTGATAGAATATTTCAAGCATTCAACTCCATGGTCCAAACACAGTTTAGTACTAAAATCCAAGTTCTTAAATCTGATAATGCTAGGGAATATTTCTATTCAGTTCTAGGCAACTACCTGTCCCGACAGGGGATTGTCCAAATGCGTTCATGTGTCAATACACCCCAACAAAATGGAGTGGCTGAGAGGAAAAACCGTCACTTGTTAGAAGTAGCCCAATCCCTCATGTTTTCCACTGATGTTCCAAAGTATCTTTGGGGGGAAGCTATTCTTATCTCTGCATATCTCATCAATAGGATGCCATCCCGTGTTCTAAAATTTGGTACACCACGTCAAGCCCTCATTAACATCTTCCCTAGTGCTCGTGTTCTTTCCTCCTATCTTCCTTTCAAAATAGTTGGGTGTTTTGCATTTGTCCATGTATATCCCAAAACAGGAGTAAGCTTGATCCAAAATCCATAAAATGCGCCTTTATTGGTTATTCCACAAATAAGAAAGGTTATAAGTGTTTTTGTCCCAAAACAGGAAGAGTCTATGACACAATGGATGTGACTTTTTTTGAAAAAACTCCTTATTTCTCCAAAACTGAAATTCAGGGGGAGAGTAATCAGAAAGAACTTCAGCTTTAGAGTTGGGATTCCTTGCTAGAACAACCTAAAATTAGCCCAAATATACAGCCACAAAATGCCGAGTCTAGCCTTATGTCCAGTCCAGTCCATGTACCATCAAATCAACCAGAAACGTCTCCTTTCAGTCTAGTCCCTGAAGCTTCGGCTAATCCTCCCAATATTTCTTCCTTGAGTCTACCCTGTCTCTGCCAGTAACTAAAGAACTTCAGGTATACACCAGGAGGAAAAAGCAACCTCAGGGGGAGATTGAGAACTTAGCACATCTCATACCTGTCCAAGAATCTGAACCGGACCCAATGACTGCTGAAACTAGCACAGGAGGTGGAAATGAGCCGAAACAAAAAGGATCACATGAGACTCAGACTATAGATGATTTGGGACTACCCATCGCCTTAAGGAAAGGTACTCGAACCTGTACTCAACACCCAATCAAGAATTTTATATCATATGCAGGTCTCTCTCCATCCTATCGAGCCTTTACTTCAGGGCTGGATAATGTTCAAATTCCAGCAAATAAGTCACCCAGGATGGAAACAGGTTGTCCAAGAGGAGATTATGGCCTTGGAAAAGAATGGAACATGGTCTATCACTGAACTCCCGCCAGGAAGGAAAAAGGTGAGTTGTAAATGGGTTTTTACTGTGAAGCACAAGGGAGATGGAAGCATTGAAAGGCTTAAGGCTCGGTTAGTAGTAAGGGGCTTTACTCAATCCTATGGTGTTGATTACCAGGAGACCTTTGCTCCTGTTGCAAAGCTTAACACCATTCGAATACTCCTCTCATTAGCAGCGAATTTGGACTGGCAACTTCATCAACTTGATATAAAGAACGCCTTCCTTAACGGAGATCTTGAAGAGGAGGTCTACATGGAAATTCCTTCGGGTCTACAAATAAGCAACAGCAACAATAAGGTGTGCAGGTTATTGAAGTCTCTGTATGGGCTTAAACAATCCCCACGAGCGTGGTTTGGTAGATTCTCAAGATCAGTAAAAGAACATGGATTTATTCAATGTTAAGCGGATCACACTCTTTGTAAAGCACTCTCCAAAGAACAAATTAGCCATTCTCATTGTGTACGTTGATCACATTATCCTAACCGGAGATTATGAGGAGTCACTGAAAATCAAACAATCCTTGGCTAATGAATTTGAGGTAAAAGATCTTGGTCCTCTACAGTACTTTCTAGGCATGGAAGTGGCTCGATCAAAAAGGGGAATAGTTGTCTCTCAACGCAAATACACCCCGGATTTACTCAAAGAAACTGGTATGCTAGGATGTAAACCTGCAAGCACCCCTTTGGACTCTACAAAGAAGTTAGGGCGTGAAGAGGAAGGAACCCCAGTAGACAAAGGAAGATATCAACGTCTAGTAGGGAAGTTCATTTATCTCTCCCATACTAGGCCTGACATTGGCTTTGCAGTAAGTGTCGTAAGTCAGTTTATGAACCATCCGATGGAGGAACACATGGAAGCTGTGTACAGAATTCTCAGGTATCTAAAGATGACCCCTGGAAAAGGGTTATTGTTTAAGAAAAACGGTTGCAGGAATATAGCTCTATACTCTGATGCAGACTGGGCAAGAAGCCAAGTAGACAGGAGGTCGACCTCAGGGTATTGCTCTTTAGTATGGGGGAATCTTGTAACATGGAGAAGTAAGAAACATACTGTGGTTTCCAGAAGCAGTGCAAAGGCTGAACTAAGAGCCTTAGCAGTAATGATCTGTGAAGGAATATGGATCAGAAGAGTTATGACCGAGTTGGGGTTGGAGTTTGAG